TTACCATTAACGCTGGTCTCAGATTTAACAATCGCATAGAAACACGTAGGGAAAAACTGAACTCATGAAAACATTCTGCGGTACACTTTATCAGCTGCGCAAAACCTGAACATCATCACAAAAGATACAAGCTCATAAGACTTATGTTCCGCCTGTTATTCAAAACGGCGTGTTGAACTATGGCGCGATGAAAGTTATTAGAATCAAGTATCTTGATCAGACTGCACCGAATAATATTTCACATCTCTACAGTTTTACTGATATACATCTGTATGAATTGCTTAAGGCATTAAACAAAGTAATTAGTTAGAAAAATATGTCAATATACTATGAAACATAATGTCGTCTGCAGTTCTTCTCGTCAAGGTCAGCATTAAAAGACTAACAGCTAGACATATAAGTACAAGCGCTTACAAAAACACTAAAATTGAATAACCAGGCGAAATAGGAAAATGATTACTGCCTCACTCCAAAATCAGATTGAATTTATAGAAGCAATATTTAATGCTTCAAATACTGAAAAAAATAAAATATACTATACTTTTTGGACAATTTTACAATAAGCAATCATGAATTGGCAAATATTATGTTAAACTGATGTGAGGAATCTCATAGTTATCTTTTGGATGTTTTTGAGATACGCAAATAAAATTGTTTTCCTTCATTTTCAACCTCAAAAGTTGTTCTGTTTCTCAATAAGGTAATTTTCATCAACTTTCAATTTATATTTCGTTATAAAAATTCATTCATAGTTTTTTTTAATCTTCTACATTTTCTGCTACATTAACTACAGTTTTTCTTACATATTCAGTTTTTCAAAAAATGAAAAGTTTTTTTTCAGGGTTATTTCAAAAAGAAAAATATGTTCTAAAGGCGTTGTCTAAGGCTTTATTCTGGGATATAGTTGTTACCAGTATCGTAAATCAGTCTACAAATTTGTGAGCCTTATACCAATTGAAGAAATTTTCATTGATTAACAAATTCAAAAGAAGTGCGCATGTTCATGTTCATTGAAACAATATTGAATGCGGCTGGAGGTTCAAAAATTTTTACTGAGGTATTAAAGCCCTGTAGGTCGTGATTTAAACGTGAAAATGGAATTTCAAAAAAAAATGTTCTCCGAGCAGAAAAAATTTGTAAGAGTTGACTCAAAACTAGCGAACACAATTTAATTGGACAAGGTCGAGGACACAATTTGTTTGCTCTTTAGTCAAATGAATAGTACAAATGAGTCGTGCAAAAGATTTGTCGCAACATATCTTTCATCCGGCACGGATTGACAAACGCTTACCATATTTATAAATAAACTCAATACGATGAGTAAACCTTTCGGTATGGTCGATTGGCCTTGTAAAACTGTAAAAACATAGAAGAATACTAATTTTATTCTCAGACGGCAATAAATGGTTGTTTTTATCTCGTTTTCCGATTAGAAGTCGTTTATCAATCCGTTCGGATTCAATATCAGAAACGATCATACACCGGCGCATGGCATGGCGCAGTCAGCAGGATCTTCGAAAATTACGTTAAAAATCAATTCATTTTCGAAAAAGCGTCAGCTGAACCACCATTAGAGTGGTCTAAATGGGCAGCAATACACGAGATCTTGCTTTTCGCAAATGAGTGAATAGAGGTCCCATAACTACTAAGAGCTAAACATGACTAACCGAACCCGCAGAATCCATTTATGACTTCAAAATAAGTGGTGAAACAGAGGAACAAAATAAAAAAAAGTGACGTAAGAAACCATGAAAACGAGTCGGTTGGAAAAACCGAGTTCAAAAAGCATGAGAAAAAAGCGTATTGTGTAACTGTTTTTCTTTGGGTGAAGCTGATGCGACATTCCGTGGTTTTTAATTTCTATGTCTCGGTGCCGAAGCACAACGCCAGGTTCAACAGAAAAAGCCAAGCCGCGACTTCCACAGCACAACGAAAAGAGAGCTCGTGACAAAAATTAGAGGATATATTTGTGTTTCGAGCCTAGAGCAGTTCCCCGCAGATCTGGTCAAATTAGCTGCTTCGCGAACCGATTGCGCCGACCGAGAAGATGAGTGCGTTAGAGACATGTTTACTGCTCATATGCACAACAAAAAATTAGATCAAGAGTTATTAGACGAAACGCGAAGTCCCCAAGATGCATTTGGTTATGCAATTCGTCGAGAAAAAGGGTAAAACATAGTCGAGCCATGAAAACATGAACACTCAGTGGAACATCAACAAGAACAGCAAAACAAGAACTGGGAGTTTTACATTAGCTCGCGAGGTACAGGTAATTACATACACCATCAATATCCACAAAGAACTCACGGCGGATTCCGCGAAAGATCGTATTTCACAGGTGGAGCACAAAACACAAGGAGTCAACTACAAAAACCCCCTATAATCCACAACAAAAGCAATGTTATAACTTCGGCAGACATTTCGGCCCAAACCACTGACAATCGTGCCAAGCAAAAGACAAAACTTGGTCAAAATGCGCAAAACGGGGCTATTTTGCGAAAGTATGTAGATCTACGAACGTCAATTATCTAGAAGGTAGGAACGAAGAACAACAAGAAAAAGCGGAAGATAACCACAAAATGACAGAAAATGATCCAGTTGCGTTTGCAAATTACGTAGAAATAGATACAAAATTATGCTAGAAACACATTGGTTTAATTGAAAACGATTATATTCCCAATTAACTGGTTTACAAAACTGGGAAAAAATTTCGCACTTAAATACGCACTAAACACGGAATAGAGGTAGGTCAAATTTTATGTACAAACAATTGTCTTTTTAAATCACTGAATTTTGTTTAGTATACAAAAGTATTTGTCGATTTTTTGAACGTGGTTCTTATTCTTCAACTGCTTCATAATCGAAAAACGAATCGTTGAAGAATGACGACTCGTCCTCATTGGAAGCATTGGCCTCCATATCGGCGATACCCCCCACTATCTATATCACTGTCGTTGGTTTCTGCTGCCCGACTCAGACTGGGGTCTGGCGTTTGTCAACTGCTATTCACCTGGTCCATCAGTTGTCGAAGCGAACGATGTGGTTGTGTATTTTCGTCAGCAAAGCTATCCTCAGAGTAGTCATCATCATTTTCCGGATCGTCCCAATCAATGTTTTGAGTGTTAGGGAATTCTTCAGACACCCCATCTAGGAAATCTTCACATTCTAAACACTGGCTGTTGACCATCTTCAAAAAATGGCATTCCTTTTCCAAATCGTCATCATCAGTTCGGTTCGAGATTTCAGCGACGGCGTTGTCATCGCCATCATCAATTCCAATCGCAGTTTGACCCAGAATGTTTTTGTTACCGTAGAGAAGAGTCTGCTGGCCATCATCGAGGGTGTAGCGTTTGTCATCAAAAGCTGATAACGATGTTTTCGTCGAAGTCACAGTTTGCAGATTGAGTGATTCGGATGCGATTCGACTGTTTTCAGTTTTGAATAACGAGCCAGAGGTCAAGGTGTTTCAATATCGCTGAGCAGTCAACATCTTATGAACAACTTTGGCCGATAGTTTTCTGCAGTCTAAATAAAAAATTAAATGAGTAATAACCCATTTAAGGATGATCAAAAAAATGAGCAAAAAAATCCGCCCAGAAATTTTTTTTTAAAAAACACAATAAGTTTTTCATCGACAAACAAAAATTCAAGCCCGAAGTTTAAAAACGGGTTTGAGGTATTTAAATTTGGTTATTATGTCCCCTGGAAACCCGTCCTTGAATTTTAAAACAACCATTTTGTTTTTTGAATTGTAAAGAGGGTGGTTCTTTGGGTAATTTGACAGGTCAAGTTCATTCAAATTGTTTCTTTTTTCGGAAATTTCGCGTTTCAAATCTTTACTTTTGATTTCGTACAGGAGACATTGTTGACTTTCACAAATTGTTTTTATTAAATCATAACAAAATTTATACATGTGTAACATTGCTAAATCAAAAACACTAGCTCCCACAATTGTCGGTACATTCCAATAAATTTTGTGTTCGATTCGAAGTGAACACTGCCAAATTTCCCCAAGAAATTTGTAGGATTTGAACTCGAATGCACTAATTTCTCGCAAGGCGACTTGATAATCTCTAAATAAGCGAGCGAGTATCCGTTTGCGCTATGGCTCGCACGTTTTCCAATAAGCACAGTTGTTTAAAAGTTTGTAGAAGTCCTCCTCAAATTTGCTTCTAGCTTGTTGGCGTTTAGCCGTGTTCAGAGTGTTATATGGTTCCAACCATGCTTCTTGTTCACACGGTGCTTTTTTAAACTTTTATTCCTAACCGAACATACAATTGCAAAAGTTTGTAATGCCTTGTATAATTTGACTTGTCATGCAACGTCTGTAGTAACTTCTTGTTCTTACCAATTGAACGTCTTGCAATTTTTTGATTTCTCATCTGCCCGATTAATTGGTTTGGTAGGGACTCAATCAATCATGTGGTACTGTTTCTTTGGTAGGAGCTAAAGGGTAATCTTGATGACTGTGATATAGTTTTTTTGGGTACTCGAGATCAACTTCTTATTTAAATCCAATCAGAGAGACTTCAGACGTTTTAAGGATTTGGTTCAAAATTACGTCGTTTTCTATTTGCTCTATTACCTCAAAGTCATGCACCGGTAATTTTTACTGTTCCGTTCGATCATAAACCCGTAGATGCTAGGTTGACCTGGGTTTAATTTGGGGCATTCTTTGTTGTTTGCTTTGGAAAAATTAGCTATAGAACACAGATGCAGTGCCACCTCGCATCATATTTTTGACCATTTCGAGATACCAGCGATCTGATATGAGCTGAACATTTGAGTCGTTGCAGATACGTTTGAAGGCGTCTCCAGTTAAGTTGGAAGCACTTAAATGGTGCGCACCGTCCAGGCCATAAGTTTGGTGACTAATTTTGCGGAACTCTTCGAAGACGCAAGCAAGAAGGATTGTATCACATTTGCGATGCAAGTTGTGATAATCCTCCAAGTTCTGACATTTGAACTCTCTAAAAACTTTCCTTGCATTGTCCAAATCCGCTTCTGAATCTACAACTTTTCCTCATTTCAAAACATCTGACCGATGTTGCAAGGAGGCAGTTCTTTTTCTGCAAATTTTCTCTTTTGGTCATGTATAAATAAGGGTAGAAACCTTTTTGTCGTATCAGACATCGTTACTCCTCCGTCACGTTTGCAAAAGACTCGTTTAAAGTCGACACTTTTTCTACATGTAGATTATCAAACAATTTTTGCAGGGAAGAATTTAAGAACGTGCTTGAGTCAATGAATCTGAGGTACTCAAAAACTTTTTGATCAGTTCCGTTCTTCCTTGTAGTTTTAATTAGAACTCCAATGCTTAACAATATATATTTTTGTCGGTGCTGGTTATAATACTCATTGTACTGGTTAGCTCGCATTCATGCAATGCGAGACAAACGAGATGAGGGTTATAGTTCTGGATGTTATGTCCAATTGCTGGGATAAAATTCACACTTCGTCCTGCTAGATTGCATTTTTCATGTGCCCATCCCAGAAATGTTCCAGAAAAATGACAAGAGTCAGGACATTTTACGTGCTCATTGGTTAAATGCATACAGCAAATCCAACATGTTGATGTGTTTTCTTTGTTGAACGAATCTTGATTTCCAAGGATATGAGGAAATTGTCGCTTTTAATCATATAGCTGTCTCGCTAATTGATGCAACGTGTTGAGAAATGTTTTCATGCATTGATGAGAGCTGTCATAGTCAAAGAAGTAAGGCGGTGAGTTTTCGTAATCAACTACAGCCAATGAGTATCCACAAGTTTCCTGTTTTTGTACAACTCGGTTTGATGATCGCGAAAGATTATCACGGCAAGCATGTACTGGTTTTAGAAAAGGTTCAAAGTCCAAGTAATTGACAAGTGGTTCAAACCACAAGGCCTGAAAGTTTTTGAACTCATATCAGTTGGCAGATTCTTACAAGACTGGATTTTTTGCTCATGAGTTTCATCACTCCAACTAATAAGAAACGAGTTTCTACATAAGTGCGTGAATGGGCGATGCTTATATCCTTTGATTTCACAAATGATTTTTAGCAAATCGGTTATAAGTACATAGTGATGCTTTTTAGGCTCATATAAAAGAATTAGGTCCATGTCAAAAATCTCCATTTCAGTGTTGCTATCATTGTTCGGTGGTTTTGATATATAGGCAACAAGTCTCCCATTTCAAACTGGAATAAATTTACCCGCACATCGTTGAGTTGTTCAAAGTTTTCAATTGATGCGACACTCATTGGCAAATCAAAGGTGCCCTGGGCATTGTGTGCATTTTTAGCAGTATACGTATCAGGTTGTGTTCGCGCAGCTGCTGGGTTCGCTTCATATTGATCAGTCAGAATTAGGTCAAAACCATGCTTCAGACTATAAGCAAAACCCAACCGCTTCCATAAGATGCAAAAGTCTCCTTAACTGCTTGTATTTTTTTGACCATTTCAAAAAACTCGTCATCTTCTAATCCCAAACTCACCACTGACTTCATGTCGTAGTTTGCATACAGGTCAATCCGCTCGTCCGGTTCTGAATTATTAGAATCGTTTTTTTCTCTGGTTTTTATCAAACACAAACTAGCGCTGAACTGAACTTTTCTAGATCCTTCTGCAACACGTCCCATAATGAAATTTTGAAATTGATCTTTTTTGTCTTGCATAAGTTGCAAAAGATCAATCGACTGATTTTCATCCATTGGTTGGTTGGCGCTGATCACATATGTCTCAAGAACACCAATAAACCAGACTCACTTTTTTGAAGACTTGTGCCGTTGATTTCGTCTCCATCAGCAGTACGCACATCACCGAGAGCAGCATCAGCAGCGGCAGTTGTAGTAGCTAAGTCAGCAGAGACAGCTCTGAAACGGAAAGACCATACGTTGTTAGTAAAGGAGTTAATAAGGTTTTCGGAAAATGAAGGCCCAAATGACAAAAGTCACAAACACCTTCAAGTTGACCATGAGTGTGAAGTATACGTTTTTGTAAATTTGAAAGCAATTGAGCTGTGAATGAACACTGATTGCATCGATAGACAATAAGGTTTTTTTCATCAAAATTTTGTCACGCTCATGACGACTTCTATTGCTCTTGTTTGCGTACGTCAGTGAACAAAAATTGCATTTGACCACTTTTTCAGATTTGTTATGCAATTGATTACTAGAAAGAAGTAGAGACGAGTGATCTCAACATATAATCATATACAACAGTAAGTAAGAAAATATAACTGTTCGTCCACCAATTGCAGACAAAACGGTTTGTGTTTCGGGCGCGCAAACTTGAATTTGAACTAACTTTTCCGCCAAAAATCAAAACTATTTCACATTTTCCGCCTTAATGTACCTGCTGAAGTACCATTTGTTGACATAACTTGATTAACATGAACTATTTAGGCAATCTTTTTAAAGTTGATAAAATTTAATTCAAAATGACTGGATCAGAGTTACGTGATCACGAAAATGATTTCAACATGGTTTACTTAGTTTTGAGTTTTTTATTTCAAAATGTACGTCAGTAATTAGGGAAAATTTCAAAACTTCAAATCTAAACCAAGCTTGTCCTAATACTTGTACCAAGCTTGTGGTTTTACATATAATGTCTAAACAAGCTAGTTTTTTGTTTGACACACATATTTTTTTATTTCAAAATGTCAAAAGACTTATTGAATTACACAGAGATTCGTTAAGCCAATTAGTTGTTGTTTGTTATCAATTTTTGTAAGGCTTGAACAACCAATATTTTGATTACTGAATATAACGGAGGGTTTCAAAAATTCAGTGTTTAAAGAAAATGTGCGACTGAAGTGTATTATCTAGGAAATGTCATCAAAATTATATTATTTTACCAAAGGTGGGTTTTTGTTTGAAGGAGGCGTAAGGGTTTTAGTGTTTTCCTCCGAAACTAATAAGAAATCTTAAAAGCCAAAACACGTGAAAATACAGAAAAATTGTACTTAAGGTATTTGCTATAGATGTTCAATTTATTACCATTTTTCCAGTAGAAAAGTCTCATTTTCTTTACTAATAAAAAATTATAAGTATAAAAAAGTCAAATTTTCGGGGTTAAAGTGTTGATCTTGACAAAAAAATCCTTAGGGGTTCTGAACCATTGTTTAAAATGCGTAGCTTGGTCAGAGCAGCAATATGAGTGGTCACAAGCCTATATTCGGACTTTGTAACAAAAAAAATGGAAAATTGGCATAGGATGAGGCGTTTTCCAAAAGTCAAGTCTGTATCTCTTCAATGAACGATGGACGGTCTGAACATAGTCGTGCGACATACCAAAGTGCTTCTCTCAACCAGTTGACCCTTTTCTATAAAAGTTTAAAGACTATAGGAACTCAAGCTTACGAGATAAACTTTCAGACCTTTTCCGAAGTTTGAAAGACTTAAGTTTTTTTTTGTGTTTTGTTTTACGAATTGTCCAACAATCGCCTAACAAAGTGGTTCATTGTGCCTTACAATTCATAGCAACATGACGAGTGAAGCATTAAAAGGCAGAGAATTTTAGTTAAGAAGCTGTTTATACACAAAAAAAAACCAAATGAAATATTTTGAAAACCACTCTCAATTTCAAATTTGAATTTATATACAAACTAAAAAAAAAGAAAATCAAACAAATGCGATCTCAGTTTCAAACTTGAAAAAGATCCAAATACTCTTGAGCTTTTCCTAGTGATGTTAGCTTTTGCTTTTTTTTGAAGCAATACACAGAGGAGGAGTGAAGTTTTCCAACTTATTACTAACTGTCGCTACAGGGGTGCAGGTTGGAGTTGAACAATCTGGTTCATCAAGCCATGGTGACACTGTAGGAGAAGGATAAACTTTCGGGATATATAACAATCCTGACTCAAACTGCTCCGTTCCCCATAGAGGGTCAAAAATATCATTTTCTTCAATGTATTGTAACTGGTTTTCACACATCGGAGTGACATCACAATCGTATTTATACAAACTGTTTTTACTAATTTTGATGAAATTGAATTATCAATCTGAAGAACAAGAAGCTCTCCAGGATCCGTAGAATTTGTATTGTAAGTCAAATTTTTTATATTGAGTTCTTCGTCTTCCTTCGACATCTTTAAGGAAGTTTACTGATTAAATGTAATAAAATTTTAGGTATCATGATGTGATTTGTACAAATCTACTGATCAGAATTTGAAAAAATATTTGTTTCGTTAGTTAATGCAGCAAAATCACCATGAACGGTTTCATAAAAAATGGTTCTTTTACAATTAGAAAATCCGGCAAGAATGTAGCGACGCATTTTTGAAGAAAAATCAGATGAAAATAACAAAGGCGGAAAGAAAACAATTTGAAATGAATTGTGAAAATGCCTCAAGAGAATGAAATAGGGATTGGGCTTCTAAAATTATAAAAAAACTAGGAACTCCTATGTAGTTTCATATCAGTTTACTAAGGGAAGGCGTTTAAGATATTTATGTTGCCTTGCACGGTGTGGTGTTTTATGTATATCTAATTTGCATTCGAACAAATAGCTTGTTTTAAATACTACATTTGAACATTGTGACCTATGACGCCCCTTAAATTTCTTATCAGTTGCCCATGCTCAAAACACTAATTCAATTGAACCAAATTACGATCGAAAACATTTGCGATATAAAGAACATTTGTGCTTATGTTGAAATAGATACAACACTTTCTTTTGCAATTCTATACAATCAATTGAAACTATTTCTTACTATTCAATTTTAAAATCGAGTTACTTTGGAAATTTACTCGTTGGAATTAAAAAAATGAAAAAAAAAACACTACAGCAAATGCAAATAAGAGTTTGGCAATTGGTATTTCGATATTTCTGAAAACAGTAAAAGATTAGTGCGTGCTACATTGAAAACATATGACCAAACTGGTATTTATCTTATCTTGAATGTTTTCAAAAAAGCAACTAAAGACGTTGAATTTGAATGTGTACAACGACTTTCCTCAATCAGCGAAGAATTTTCAAAACTAATAAAATTGGAAGCGCAAACGAGTGAAATTTCTGATACTGTTGAAAACAAAGACAAACTACAGTCTAATTGTAAACGTGCCAGAAAATCTCAACTTTCCTCAAATAAAAAAATTTCAAGCACGACTTGAATTAATTTTTCTTCTCAAAATGCCAAAAGCAATATTCGAAGTTGTTTTTACTGATTATTTCAAAAATATTCAAACTATTTTCAAGTTTTTAGTTACTGAAAAAGTTCCTAACTCAACTAATTTCAAAAATTATGCTATAGAAAGTCTCTTCAAATCTGAGTATTGCCCTTTTTCTGTTGAAAATAAAAAAAAATCCCATTCCCATATATTGATTCAACTAGATTCAAAGGAACAATTAAACCATTTTTTCCTTGCCAAAAACATTTCAGTATTCGTTGCATTTTCACTTGCTGCAAATACTGGTTTCTCCTGCTAAAGATGTCAAAGGAAACGATGACTTCTTTGACAAGCGTAAACTTATTCATCACAACAACCTGTTGCAGCCAATCTTGATTTGTTATATTTTGGTGCAACCAAAAAATGTTCACCCAATTTATTGCTTTCTGCAACATCATCTAGCAAACAAACTTTACAAATGCAAAACGTCTGCAAACAATTTCCTGCCTTTGGGGGACAGAAACCAATTGATAATACAATTACGCCTGCTGCATCGTCGGCGTCAAACAAAGGCGCAAGAGTTTCGTCTGAAGTTTCAAAGAAACGCACAGAAAGCAGACAAGTTCAAACAGATGAAATGAATACAGAAACATTGGAAAGATTTGAAAGTTTTAACAATGGACTCCATTTTGCCGCTTTTAGTAAATTAATGGATAATTTGACAAGTTGATAAGGAAATTTTGATGTACACAATAATGTTGTCTTTGTGAAATTTATTAATACTTTTCATTATGATTTTTTTTGAAAGCTGAGTTTAATAGACATGATTTCGTTTTGAAGCTTATTTATGAAGTTTTTAACGATGTAAAAACACAGTATCCAGATAAATCAGTCAGATTTCAAAACTTTTTGACCACTGTTTTTTATTTGGATGCTGATATTAGTTTGGATTTTGTTTCGAAAAACAGACCATATGGTGGTTTAATTTGACTAAACAATTCGTCGCTCGAAAAACTCTTAAACAATTCAAATTTCTTAGATGACATGCAAAGTTGCATGACGCAGCAGGTTATTTGCAAAAAAAAAACAATACCGGGCCTGGTTACACACATGTTTGATTTGTCCAATAAAAAAATCTGTAATCTAGGTCAAGTTACAGGTAAGACGTTTTGCTTATTACTAAAAGCATTCAAACCATAGCTGTTTCATTTGTTGGAATGGTGAATGAAAGTCAAACTAACCGAGAGAAAGAAAACTAAATTTTTGTTTTTCAACCGTCCCAATATTTTAGATATTGAAGGATTTAAATGTGACAAGAAACCTTTCATCATAAAAGAAATTTCCGTTTGCTCGGCAAACACAATTGATGCAATTATTTTACAGCCACCAGTTTCATTCAACAATTTATCATAAGAAGAGAAAAAAGCTTACAATTGGGTATCTAAATATCCTCACGTTGTTGGGACGAAGGTTAATACCCTTACTCTTATTTGGCTCAAATTTGTGACAGCATTTGTTGAGGAACCCAAACTCCCAATTTTTTTTGCTAAAAGTACACAGTAATCTGTTTTGTTAGCTGAAAATTTAAAATTACTCGTGAAGAATTTGGAAGAAATTGGCTGCCCAAAAACAGTTATTGGTTCAAGAAAAACATATTTGTAAACGGCATTCTCTTTTATCTCCCTCGCATCAATTGTTTAAACATTGTACCCATGTAAAATCAAACGTTTGTTTTTTCAATTGGATACAAAATGAACTGTCCAATGATGCGAACAACCTCATCTCCAACTGTGCTGGTTTACGCATCCATGACTAATCAGAGTCCTGAAAACACTTTAACACGAAGAACTAAAGTTGCTCTCACGCAGACAGGCATATCGCAGACAGGCATACAGTCCTCTCCTGCAAAAACTTGATCAAATTACATTGAGCGATATCGAAAACTATAATTAACAGAAATGCTTTACAGTTCTTGACTACTTTCACCTGTACAGTATCAAGACTCCAGGAACTTCGACAGTCAATTAAATGTTCAACCTCATCCTGGAAGGGCTGCAACCTCAACTGGGTGAGAGAAGACAAGTCCATTTGCTTGACCAACAGCTTCCAGCTGAACTGAAAAACGAATCATTACTGATAACGTTGAAGAAACACATTTAGTTCAAGCCACATTTAGTTCCTGGTCATTTCGCTGTAAAACTCAAAAGTAATTGTAACTTTGATAAGTTCACAAATTATGAATCTTCTTTATTGAAAAGAGATTTGATTTGCCTGTTGAAGCGGAATAAAGAAGCACATGTATACCAAGCTTTGTGAATATAAATTTTAATATTTTCTTTTTAATTTAATTTTCGTTTAATTTTCGTTTCGTTTAATTTAAGGTCTGTTTAATTTTCGTTTCGTTATATTTATATAGTTCAAAATTGTCTTTTTACAATCTACGTAGCAACGAGACTGCCATTTGACTTTCGATACTGTCCAGTACATTTGGTTAAAAGTTACCAAATCCAGAGTTTTAATAATGAATACGATCATTTCAAAAAAAGATGGTCTGTCTATGTCTGTTTCAGGTCCCTCGGGATCCGGCAAAACTCATTTATTTTTTCAAATGCTTCTCGGAGGTACAATCTACCTATCGTAAAACGAGATACTTTGTTTTTATCTTCACGTTCAACCCAAATACCGTTCCTTGGTTTCTCACAACGAAATTGATTTTGAATTTAAAAAATTGTACAGCTTTGAAATTGTTAATAACTTACAGGATTGCATGATTGTCTTTGATGATACCTTTGAAGAATTTTTTAACGAAAAAGAATTTGTTAGAATTGCTACAGCAGGCCGACATAAAAATGCTTATGTTTTTTATGTCAAGTATATTTTGTTTCAGCAGAGTAAACAATCACGTACAATAGATTTGAATGCGATTCACTTAACTTTGTTCAAATTACCTCGAGACATTCAACAAGTGATTATTTAGGCAGACAACTGAATAATGCTAAATTCCTTCGTCATGCGTATCAGTTGGCAACAAAAGAAGATTCCGTTTATCTGTTGATACACTTAGATCCCTAAAACTTCAAAATGTCTTCGTTATTTGTCAAACATAGTTCAACTATCAACAACCGTTTTATTTTTACCATCCTCAAAAGCAGTCATCACATCTCTTGAAAATGAAAGAGAAAGAGTCATGAATATTGAAGCAAATTTTGTTAGATTTCCTTGCGATTGTTTTGTAAATGTTTTTCTTGGGCATCTTCCAGCTAACAAAATTTCATCGAGAGTTGAAAAGTACCATTTGAAAAGTTGTTGACCCTAAGTTTAGTATCTGAGAAAACCGAAAAGTTTGGGCTCACCATATTTCATTGGTTAAATCGATCGGGAAATCGTGTAAGTTTTAATTGAAAAACTAGAACAAAAGGCATGTATGCTGAAGACTTCATCCTCGTTCCTCGCAGGGCATATGCTCCAGATGAAAAAACTGTACAACAATGTCAAATCCTTTAACCTATCAATGAATGACAAATCATCTCAACTCAATTACATACAGCGATTTTGAAAACGAAATACCAACCGTGACTCTCCACCACCATTAAACCCAACTCCTTCTCCTTCAACCCCTATTATTTTAGTACCAAAACTTCAAAAACGAAATCTATCTGCACTTACTAATTTCAGTTGAGATGGTGATGATGAAGCAGAAAATGATGTTGAATCAGACGCTTCTCTGTAGCAAACAAGTTCAATGAGTATAGATAAAACGATCAAAAAAGTAATGGAAAAACAGCAAGGTGTCGGAAGATTAAGGAATTCATTCAAGACATATTAGAAGCTAATAAACTGGAGGGCCAAACATAGTGCTAAAGCAGTTGTTCAAGTTTAAAACCTTGAATTTAGACGTTAAAGGATGTTTTTAATTTAGGAAAGCCGACACACGTTATAATTCAATATTTTTTGTACGATAAACAGCAAAACACAAAAAAACTTGAGGGTGTTTTTATCCACAAATTTTGAAAGAACTGAATACTGATCCTAGTTTAGTGTCCAACACGTATACCGAAAAGATTCTCCGCTTGCTTAAGAGCTAAGCAGCTAAGCCCGCAAGTTCTTCCTTTGTCTCCGACAATCCAATCCGACAATTGAGGAATCGAAGAGATCAGAACCCTCCTCTTCGAAGCCTCTATCGACAACTATCAAACCCAGGATCAATCAATCCGACAGAAGAAAAACCCAGACAGAAGAATTTTTTCCCACCAAGGACGACAATGACGACGACGATAAAAACTATGAAGGCAGTAAAGAATCGTTTTCGAAGTCAAGAAAAAAATGGAAATCTTATAAGAAAAAATACTCAATTTACTCTACTCGAAAGGCTCAGCTGCATTTAGTAGCGTAAAAATTTTAACGAAGGCTAGTGGACTCTCACAAAAAAAATTAGAAAGTTTCTGCGATCTCAATCATCACATAAAAAGTATGGACTGTTTCGTAAAACAGATTCTCGCATGAAGGTGATCGTTAACAATATCAACCAAAATTGGTCTCATGACTTGGCATATGTGGATCAATTGTCTATCTCGCTATTTACGAGTGGAATCTCTGAAGACCAAATTTGCTAAGGAAATTGCCGAATCTTTCAAAAAAATGATCAAAATGAAACAACCAAGAGAAAATTGGAATGACGAAGGCACAGAGATTAAAGGAGAGTTCGAAAAATTATGTACTTAACGAGAAATCATCAAATAAAAAACTCACAGAAAAAAATCAGACTATCAACTCACGCGTGAATAGAGTAAAAAGTTGGCTCCGAGCAAGGTCACAAGAAAGCATGTGCCTGCTTTGGTTTCATTATTTGCAAACAGTTCATGAAAATTGGTAGAGCAACCAAAAATTTATGTTGGTGACTATGTGCGAATAGTGAAAACTGACTTACCTTTGAAAAAGGTTACCGGCAAAAAAATTTACGGACAAAGTTTTTGAAATCCTTGCCATTCCTATTGAAAGCCAAACCGTCTAACGTACAGTATCATTGATGCTGAGAAGGAAAAAATCAACGAAAATTTTATAAAAAAAGAACTTAATTTGATTGGAAACAAATCTAATTATGGCGAAGATGGGCAATGATGAGTTTATTGTACATTTGATTTAACATCATCAAGGGAATATTTACCAGACAACACTTTGGCCAATTTTAGAAGTTTTTCTGAAAAAGAAATAGCTTTTGACGGAGATTGCGGAATCGCTCTCTCAGAAATAATTTTTCCAACGAATTTAAACTATGTTACTGATAAGGAATTTACGTACTTCAGAGCGTCCGAAGCAGTAGCTAATTCAATTCGCAGACCTTAATAGGGGGAAAACGATTAAATCGATTTGAGAAAGTACACTTTTATAGAACAATTGATCAATAAGATAAAAACAAAACTCCAAGACAAAATTCATTTCGATGCAAATGCTCAAAAAATTGCGAATAGCATGAGCATTTGAATGAATCAAATGAAAGAATCTCATTCTCAAGTCCCCAAATAACCAGATTGATAGGCTACAATGCAAAATTTGAGGGGAATGGTGAAAATCACATTGGTCACAAAATGATACCCTCCGTCGATGCACCTTATGAGGGAAACGAATTTTATGAATCTCATTTTCTATATGACTAATCAAATGGCACTAGTCTAATTTTTGTCTTCATAGAAATTATTCAATACTAAACTAATGGAGATGCGAAGGCTCCATTGTTACGCGTCATTGATTCAAAGAGACGCATCAAAAACGGTAGTGCCTGCAGCATTGAACCTAATCATCGAAAAAAAAAACTCAGACCAAAAGGAACATTCGATCCCCCAAAAAGTATTTTTTCCAAGTACTCGGAGTTTGAATGGACTTACAATTATATTGAAAAATTACAGAGTTTTGTTCAGACGATCAACTGTGAAAAAAGTTTAAAAATTCAAGCGCTCTGATTGAAAACCAATGGAGCAAAATTATGCAAAGCAAGCTTCACACCCTCACTTCTGTGATCACTACCGACAGCGCGGCAGTGGATTCGGGGTTTTGGCTGCTGGTATTGGCCGTGTTGCTATACCGTTTGCACGACGTGTTATTCTACCGGCTGCAAAAAAACTGGGCAGAGAACTTGCCATGAGTGCAGCGCCAGAACTGATCGATACCGCTATGAAAAAGAAGTACCTAAACAAGCATTGAATAAGACTGTCACTTAAGTTGCAAGAAAACAACTCGGTGGTGGTAGAGGTAGGCGAAACACACTAATGAATGGATTACGAAGAAGAAGTTCAGTAGAAGCTCGAAAAAGAAAAACAATCATTCGAAGAAAAACAAGACTAGTCAGACGTCGAGCAAATTTTTTTTCAAACATAAAAATTGGTCGTTGAATTTTTACCGAATGAAGCTATCCATAGCTATCTGGATTTTTTTGAAAAACAACCTCTTTTGATTACTTTTGAAAATGTTTTTGATCAAAAATTGGACCTATCTATTGAACCAGTGATTGAGTTTGAAGTCACCCGAGACATTAAAAAATTTGTTGACCTGCGAAAATCTATTTGCAATTAAAATGCAAAGTAACGGAAGCAAATTGAGCTGATCTGAGATACGACAACAATGATCCTTCTGTGTCTGGTTCACCGTTCCTCGTAAACAACTCCCTGTATTCCCTTTTCTCTGACGGTACCCTCTCTGCTAATGGACTCAAAAATGGTCAAATGCCAATAGTAATTTTGCGCATAAAAGCTTAATTGGAATAGATTTTTTGAACAGCAAAGGAGCCAAGAATTCATGGCTCAAGTGTCAGTGATATCGTTTCGAAAACGATCCCGATGCAAAAGACGCAGCTGTTTCACATCTCAACGAGAACTGGTCCGCAAATCGAGGAAAATTTGGTTCTGTGGACCCGTTGGAATTTTTTTTTCTTCTGTGACAAGCATTTGGCATTTGTTGAGCGGTGTTACCCTCAGATTTTCCTACAGACGCTATCATGAAGACTTTCTCATTATACCTGAAGATGCTGCGAAGCATTGCAAACTGCAAATTTTTGAAGCGAATCAGTATGTTAGTAAATGAGTGTAACCGACCATAGATTCCCTGTCATTGAATCAACTTTG